ATAATTAAGTTAACAATCATTTACAAAAAATCATGATGGAAATATGCATTAAAACATTAAAAAAACAGAAACATGGTGTCCTATTACATTCTTTGCTCGTAATTGTAACAAATGACGTAGTGATGAAGATGATGGACTGATGATGATGGTGATGATGTTGAATGCAGATCTTAAATTCAGCAGCCCTGTCTCTTATACACATCTAGATGTGTATAAGAGACAGCCTGTCAACTCATCGAGATTCAAGACACATCAACTAAGCAAAAGATAGATTTTATTAGTCTCCCAAACATGTATTCTAACCATCAATCAAAGACGCACTTAAAATTTACAACAACTGTTCCGTTTTAACGTTATATCGTTATAAACAACACGGTACGTTATCGTTGTCCGCCGTCTCAAATGAGCGAACTTAATCTTCTTCATCGTCACCTTCATCACCACCTTCATTATCATCATCATTATACTCCGACTTTAAATATTGAAGTCCGACACACAATTATCGTTATTTTCTATTATTTATTAAAAACTATCATTTGTCATATTTATATCAATTCGAATAACGGTTTATTTTAAGCGATTTTGCTCCAAAACTGTCAATCTTAAGAAACTTGAGTGCAGCAACGTAGTGCTCAGAAGTTCAACGATGAACCAGTAGTTCACGTGTTTCCTATCCCGTTCTTACAATAAGTTTTCGGACGGTATTCGTACGTACTTGGGCAAACTGTATGGAAGAAGAATAAAACGGAAAATTATTTAATATTATTTAGTTATAAATTCTTGTAACGAAAATCGTTATAAATTCCTTTGTGGCATCGTACTTACATGTTAAGATCTAAACCCTTTTCATCGCAATCATCTTCGTGACGATCCAAGTACTTTGGTTACATTTCCGTTTTGCAAAATCGGCATCTTCTTAAGGCAGGACCGTTGTAGTTTCTTCTGCATTTAATCAAATGTTGAATATACTTCGTCCTTTTTACTGTGTGGCTAACGTCGTAAGGACAAGTCAAGTGAGTAGGATCCATCGTTGCTTCGTTGCTGTTGCCTCTTGTCTTGTCTTGATCGACTGAATGTTTTGCTGCTGCCTCAGAGCGATTGATAGTTGCTTCAGAGAGATTCCGACATTCGTACGGTTTGAGGTACACTTCCCGACGATCTCTTTTATATGCTTCGATCGAGAGACCATAACGTCATCGGTCATAAAATCTCAGAAATCCTTAACGTGATCTAATTTAAATATTCACGTGTGCGATCGGGACCCTCATGACGTCATGACTCCTTGGCCTACCACCTTCGTTCGAAACCGATGACGTGATGGTCGGTTTCTCGGACAGATGACGTAACGACTCGAAAGGATATATATATATCTGTCTCTTATACACATCTAGACATTATGCTTTCGGATGTCACGAGTATCCGATCGAGACAACAGAGATGGTGTCAATTCTTGCAATAACGGTGGATGGTGTACCGATGCATGTAGACATACGAGAGGAATCTGGTCTGGAACTGTCTCTCGACAAGGAATCGATCGAGAAATTTCAGATATACGCCGACTTCGTCCTTCGTCGTGCCGACGAACTGACAGCAACCTTATCTAAATGCAGACGTAAGTTGGAAGATAACAAAATGCTGAATACACGAGGACGTAAGTCGCATAAGGCGCGTCTTGCAGATCGTGTCGATCGGGTGACCGGTGAAGTAAAGGATATGTGTTTGCAAGATGCTCGCGTCGACATACGTTTGCGAAAATGTAAACATTACCAGACGAAGGAAGGAGCAGAAGGGGAAAGTGTGATGAACTCGATCAGGGCGTTGATGGAATACCGAAAAGGTATGTCGAACGTGAACGAGTGGCGTGAACAATATAAGAAAGTGACCGAAGCTATGGACGAGATTCTCTGCATACCTAGGGAGGAATTGTCCGAGGAGAACACATGTTGCATATGCTGCGAGGCGCCCGTATCCATACTGACGAAACCGTGCAATCACATGATGTCGTGCGAGACTTGTGCGCACCTCACCACGAAGTGCTACGTGTGCAGGGCAAGGATCGAGCAGCGACTGAGGAGATGCGAAGTTGAAGAGGGGACGAAAGTTTTCAAATGTTGAACCACTTTTGTGTTAATTTTCTGATTTGAGAATTGATA